TTAAATTCTCTTTCTGGAAGGCTCAGAAGTTCTTCCAAGTTACTGTCGTTGCAATCTGGGGGCTGGTTTTCTTTTTGTGGTGTGCTTCTTTCCTGAGGAGTTGCTATGTTGCGTGTGGTTCTTCTACTCCCTACTGTCTGTTTTCTAATTTGCCGTATGCGTTGGGACACTGTGTTGCTGGGACTGGCCGGCATCTTGGGTGAGCTTCTCTGCTCCCCTCTGGCTCCTCCGGGAGCCATCTGTCAGTTTCAAGCAGTCTTTACTGAAGAAAGGTCCCTGTTCTAAAATGCCGATGTGGGGACACACTCCCCTGTGCTCCTGGTCTGCCCCGGCGGTGGGTTCCCTCTCCCCCTCTGGGCTTGGACTGCAGGCCAGAGGTGTTCTGGTGTGGGCGAACTTCCCCGGCTCACCACTGGCTCCTGAGGGAGCCTTCTGCAGGCAGTCTTTACTGAAGAAATGTCCCTGTTCTAAAATGGCGATGCGGGACACACTCCCTGTGTGTCCAGTCTCAGGCACACTCTTCTGCGCGCCTGGTCTGCCCCGGCTTTGGGTACTCGCTCCCCCTGTGGGCTCAGACTACTGGTCGGCAGGGGCCCGGCGTGGGCTAACTTCCCAGCTGGCCACTGGCTCCTCCAGGAGCCTCTGCTGGTTTCAAGTCGCTAGGTGGCGCCAGAGATCTCTCCTAGAGCCCTTGGGGAGCTGTTTTTTTGTTGTTTTTTTTTCACCCCGTGGGACAGGAACAGCGGGATTGGTAGGGTACACCTCAACAGCTTTGGGGTGCTGTGTCTGCCTTGTGCCCCACCGTCGTGGAGAACCCACGCCCCGAATTTTGTGCTCCGGATCTCAGTTCCAAAGCCCTCGGGTCCAGGATGCGGGCTGTAGCCCAGTTCAGTGTCCACAGAATGGCGTCTTTTGCATCCCGCTCCCGTGCCTGGGTGCCTGGTTCCTGGATACTCAGTGAGGGACTTTCACCTCAGTGAGGGTCTTCGTGCGCGTCTCCCTGCAAGCCTAGGTCGCAGGCGCGGGGACCTGGGAAGCGGTGATCCCAATCCGCGTTTGCTTTTCAACCACGCTGCTTTTTCGCGCTATCCCGATCCCGATCCGCGTTTGCTTTTCCAGCCCACCGCTTTTCCTCGCGATCCCGATCCCGATCCCAATCCGCGTTTGCTTTTCCAGCGCGCCGCTTTTCCATGCAAGCTTAACGGGCGGCCCGGGGCTGTGTGCTGGTCCTGGCCTCCTCCTGGGGGGCGGGGTCTCTCTTTAATGGTGCCCGGAGCTCACCTCCACAGCGAATCCTGCAGGGTTCTCCACAGCTCCCGTTCACAGGGTGTGGTGGCTGCAATAGTTCCTTTCCACTCACAGTCCCGCTTGCTGCGTCGTTTGTTCTTATTGGTCATTTTAGTTTGTTGTTTTCCTCCTCTCTGCTGGTCGGAGAGTGCCGCCTCTGTGGGTGGGGGAGGGGAGCAGGGTTCTGCGCTTCCCTCCCTTCTAGTCCTCTTTTATGGCAACTTTCTTCTTCGGGCAGTTTGCTGGAGTCACCCGTTTATCTTCTGTGTCCCAGTTCTCACTGGGACCTGCCGCTTTTCCTCCCTATGAACTTTTTTTAATGGGAGATCTTACTCGCAGCGTCTCCTCGCTGCCATGTTGCTCTGCTCTCTCTTCGGTTTGAGTATTCTTAATAGATAAAGGAAATTATAGACAGCAGTACCAGAACGGAAAATACTGTAATATGAAATGCAATTGTTAGTATCTAAAGTTTTTTAATTGTTGCTTTTATTTTGATTTAAAAGTCAAAATTATGTTATAAAATTGATTTTTAAGAGTGGTTTAAGTTTGATATCAGCATAATTTTTATTTTCTATAACAAAACTCAAATCCCTTTGAAAAGGAATAACATAAATATTCATTTATTTATAATACAAAAAAAGAGTTAAGAAATGGCCCTTAGTAATTTTTTTTATGCTTTCAGTTTCTATATATTCTCAGATGTCAAAAACAGGTTATATTTCACTGTGAATCATCCTTTCTTTTCATATATATAACCATACAACAACAAGGTTATTTCTATTTAGTATTATTCACCATAGTTGCTAATGGAGACATGCTAAAATTATTCTCAGTTTTTTTTCAGAAAATGTTGTAGAATTCTAGTTTGACTGGACAATTAATTATAGCTAAAGAAACTTCACTTGGGGCCTCCCTGGCAGTGCAAGGGGTTAAGATACACCACTATGACGCTATCCACAGTCACTGCAGCACTGATTCGAACCCTGGCCAGGGAGCTGACCCACATGGCACAGCAGACCTCTCCTGTCTCACCAGCTGCTCCCCTCAGCAGTGTACTTTGGTAAATCTGCCTGTTCTGTTCCCCACTCTGTTTGTGGTGATTCCTCTTACCCCGCCCCCCCACCCCGTATCTCTGGCCTGCACTCCAGCTCTTGTATGCATAGATAAATAAATCTTTAAAAAAAGAAACTGCACTGGCTGACTGAATATTTAATGAGTTTACAAAATCATTTCTTTATTAGTTTATGTACTTTCAGTTGGGAGGGTGACATTGTGGCTCTGAGTTTTTAAAGCCTTTATCTTTTAGAAATAATGTCGAAATAAAAGAATGTGGTGTAAGAGATTTGCTGCAAAAGAATAAAGGAGGAAAGGGTATGAAATACAAATAAAAGAAAATTGTTCGTGTATTCATAAACGTATTGTAGAAGCTGCATAATGGGTGCCTGGAGAGTCATTCTCTACTTTATATGTTTGAAATTTTCCTCCAGTAAACTCTGGGAGAAGCAACAACAGCAGGAGACCTGGAATGTTCCCAGAAGTTTTTGGAATCCTTTAAAAAGCAGAAGATTCCTAGGGAGCTAGCTATGTTCTTGTGCTATGTCTTTTTTACCAACAAGGAAGCTGAAACAAAGAGGAAAAGGTTTTGCTTTTGTTTCTTTGGTGTTATCCACAACATCTATTTTTAAATCACAGAGCCCACATTCCTGTTTTATTGCTGTCACTGTTACATACTCCAGAAATCTCATATCTTAACTCTTGCATCAAACACTCTTCTATAATTCTGTCTCAGAGCTTCAGATAAAGACAGTAATGAAGACTTTATTCAAGAGACTGCTGCCCTGGAGGATTGTAGTAGGAAAGAAAGGTTGGACTCAAAACACCGTGACGTGGGAGTTATTACTATCTTCCAGGCCAGCTCGATAATTGCATACTACAGAATTTCTCTTTCATCATGTGGGAGGCAAGGGCAAAGTCTTCAGAGCTTCTAGAAGGAAATTTTTTTAAGGAAACCTACAAACACCTTAACTGGAATGATAGTAGCAGTGGTGGGAGATTCCAGAAGGAAACATAAATCTAGGAAGACAAGCTAAAAACTGAGAGGCTTAGCTCCTACTCTTTATAAGGAGATTGTTTCTTCATTGACAACTGGAGACAATTTGTATCTGTTGACGATGATGATGGGTGGATGAGTGGGTGGATGGATGGACAGACACACAGACGGACAAGCTATTGATTAGAGACATGTGGTATAACGTAAAGATTTTTCCTGGTCCTGGGAAGTCAGAATTGAATGTAGAACCAAATGAACCTTAGGCTCAGGAGCCCTCTTTCTATTCCTCTTTCAACATTTTTGTACTGATTATTGTATATATAATTTTGTTCTTTTTTTTTTTTCAGAGAGTGCCCCCCATTATATAAACATCAAGCCCTGCAATATGTGGGTCCATGATTGTAGGGAATTGTGAATTTCTAGGAAAATGTACCAACCCTTAATTTTTTTTTTTCTCGAGAGAAGCTAGCTTGATCTTTGGGTGCATGGCAATCACATGATCATGAAGGCTAGCATCAGCTGCTTAGTTGCGGGGTAACCTGAGAACCAGATCAGAGGTGGAAATGGCTGTTTCCCATTTACATAACTTCCTTTATATATAGCAATGAACTTATAGTCATTTGCTTCCATAGCACTGTTAATTTTACTGGGGTAATTTTAGAAATGTGAATTCATAAAGTCATCTTTTATTTTGAGATAAGGAAATTCCTGATTTCTTTATTTTTTTTTTTAGTTTTTTTTTTTTTTTTATTTATACAAGAACTGGGATACAGTCAGAGGTGCGGGAGGGTGAAAGAATTCACCAGAGACAGAGCAGGAAGCAGAACAGGTAGATGGACCAAAGACACTGCTGAGGGGAACAGTGGGCGAGGCAGGAGAGGCTGCCGCGCGCCATGTGGGTAGCTCCCTGGCCGGCCAGGAATCAAACCCACGCTGCAAAGGCTGCAGACAGCTTCACAGCGTGGCACTCAACTCGCTGTACCACCAGGGAGGCCCAGGAAATTCCAGATTTCAGTGGGTGCTGCTTGTCATATGGATGAAATTGGGCACTGTGCCCTTGTGGTCTTGAGTGAACTAAAACCACAGTTCATATTTAACTCATAATTTTTTTAATGCCAACAAACAACAAATGACTGTTGTCAAAATGGGTAATTTTAAAGATTCTTTTCGTATGTCATTGGTTAGTTCTTATGTCATTGGTCAGTGCTTCTGACCAATTATAACTCATCTGTTCAACCATGTCTATTCATAATCCTGGTGCACCTAGAAAATTCCAAGGCATCAGAAAAAGAACTCTCCATTATAACAGACAGGTTTTTTTATTGCTGAAGTAGCAATTACACTAGTTAAATTGCTGAGTACCAAGAACTTTAAATTATACTGGTAGTTGTATTTATTGTTAATAAATGTCATTAATTTTTTACTTACAGTTTTCACTTGGGGGAACTTTCTGGTATGTTAGGAATGTTGGACTAGTTGAGTAAGTGATGAGTTCACAAATACATCCATTTCCCATCACACTGAAGGCAGGATCTCTGCACTTTACTACGGGTAAAGAAAACAATTCACGCGCTACCTGAAAACATGGGCATGCAGCTTCTTTTTATTTTGAACTTATGAAAAGATTATAGTGTTTTCTAAGATGCAACTTCTTCAATTTTAGGAATTCTTTGATCACGTAAAGAAACTCTGGGATGATGAAGGCGTGAAGGCATGCTTTGAGAGGTCAAATGAATACCAGCTCATCGACTGCGCCCAATAGTAAGTCCATCCCTGATCGGTCCAGGCCTCTGTGAAGTCAGGGTTGCACCCACAGTTATGCTGCCTCCCAGGATACCCAAGTTTCTTGAATGCCAGAAACAGCTGGTATCTCACCACAGAAATCAACTTTAATATGAGTAGAGGGACAATTGAAAATCTAATAGGAATTGGTGTTTCAGGGAAGACCCAGAAGCATGATCATTGTATTCAGCTCTCTGCATTTTTTGCTTTCTGTAGAGCTGCAGGGCATACTCATATTTTATAATGTACTTAGATAGTTACTATTATATGTTAATTTTGGAGCACGAGCTCCCAAATTAAATTTTAAAATAATATCAACTTTGCTATCAAACCCAAGCTCTCACTTAAAGCAACAAACACTCATGCTTTATACGCATTCGAAGTAGACACAGTAAGTAAATATTTGATTTTAAAAAAAGTAATGAAGAGAAATTGTTGTCAAATTGTTTATCAAGAAATATTAGATATGTTTACTATTTTGATACCAGAAGGGGTTCTTTACTTAAAAGTGTTCATTACTTAACTTACTTAAAAGTGTCAACCAGTAGACCAGACCCAAGTTTCACCGGAAAAAGAGGAGTTTATTACCTGTACAAGTAATGGAGACTGCTTCTCTGGGGAAAAGACATGAAAGGATATTTATTTATTTACTTACTTTCTTACTTCCATTTTATTTTTATTATACTTAATTTGCTGTATGATTTTTACAATAATTTTGACTCCTGTTAACATACTCAGTTTGCTTGGTTTTTTTTTACCTAAACATCATATTTTTGAAAAGACTCATTAAAACTTCAAACACCAAACTGGCCACCAGTTAAAGAAAAGAGAGACCATGAAGTTAATCAAATTATTTTGTGTCTTATCCTCTTTATTCATGTATGCCTTGAGATTTAGTTTTTCTTTTTTTTTTTTACATCGTTCTGTTTATTTTCAATTGAGGTAATATTTGGATGCCCCCATCAGGTATTGCCACCGTAGTGCACCCACCACAAATCACCCACAGTGCATCTCCAGAGTCCATCGGCCTCATTCCCTCCTAGTTCTCAGCCTTCCCCTAGTTCTCAGTCCCCTCTGGCTGCTTCAATTCTATAGTCAGCTTTCAAGGGTAGTTTTCAAGCTTGTCTTTATCTGTCTGTTAGTTTAGTTACTTTATATTCCACAGATAGTGACACCATCCAGTCTTTTTCTGTCTCCTTTGGACTTACTTCACTTAGCATTATCTATGCAGGGATTTTTAAAAGAAAAGAGAACAAAAGTGGAACAAGGACTCTTTAGTGACTGGGTTGCAGGTGACAGGGAATGTCGATCATTTGCATGTTTGAGCTTCCACATGCATCACACATTCAGAACAGGACGGCTCAGCCCTCCCCCTAGGTGGAGATTTAGTAAGTATTGAAGTTGGTGTGATTGTAGATGAAGAACTTGTCATGGTCTGGATTCTTCACATACTGACAAGTTGTTCAAACTAGATAAGGGTGGTTGGAATTCATTCTGGACAGACGGAAATGTATGATTTAGTTAGATAACACTGCTTTCTAGTAAATCAGTTACTGCTATGCTAACCACCCTGCTTTGGTAATGAGCAGCCTTAATCCTTTGTTTTTTGGGGTCGTAGAATTAACGATCTTAACCATTTGTTTCCTGGTCCCTGACTCATTATTTTCCCTGAAATACTTGTTTTCTTATTTTCTTTCACTGTTTTAAATTCATTCCTTTACTATTAGAGAGTAATTGTTCCCCTAGAAAAGTGTTTATCAAGAAATATTAGATATGTTTACTATTTTGATCACAGAAACACTATGTGTAACTCTTTGAGCAACAAGAAATGGGCACTTTGACATTTAAAATTTGTAAACTCTTAAAAATTCATACTAGTAGAAACGATCTATGAGCACAAAATCTGGGAATTCACACTATTTGGAGCCAACTAATGGAGTGATGCTGTGAATACTGATTTCAGGGAAAGAGTGTTTGTGTGATAGCCTCAGCCCTTCCTCATCCCTGGAGTCCAGGCACCATCACCTGTAAACAGATGGGCGGACACTGAGGAGGGCCCCATGACATGTACCCAGGAGGTTTGGGGGGATGCTGAGCATCTCCCAAGCACTCACAGGAAGCTAGTCTGGGTATGGATGGGTAATAGACAAGTAACCATAAAGAAGTGAGAGGGGTAGTGGAGGTCACACTCTCCCAAGTGCTGAAGACCATGTCTGGAACTTGGATTTTCTTTCAAATGCAGTATATGGCCATGGGCTCAATGAGTGCAGTTATCAGGGCCATAATGGCTGCTTCCTGGGCAATCAAATAGAGGCGGCAGAGACCCCAGTGAGCTGTCTCAGGTCAGGTGGTGGCCATGGAGGTGAACTCTGGGAGCCAAAGGGACAGACCTAGGTGTTCTGTCTAGGATGACAGCTGGTGCTTTTTACTGGAATAGAAAACCCAGACATTTGTTTGTGGGAGGCAAAGGAAGGTATCAAGCTCTGAATTGGACATGTTTGAATTTGAGATGCTCAAGGCATATCTATGTGGAGAGATCTGTTGTAGGAACCCAGAACTCAGAAGAGAGATGGTCATAGAGTGAGATTCTTATCACCCCTATCCCGTGGTATACAGAGCCTTGGAAATGCATGAGCAACTGAGTGTGAGTGTTTAGGGAGGAGAGGTCCTGGACCTGAGAAAGTTCAATCTTCAAAAGTCGGTTTCAGGAGGAGGAACCTAAAATCACATCAAGGGCTTCCCTGGTGGCGCAGCGGGTTGAGCACAGCGCTACGAAGCTGTCCTCAGCCTCCGCAGCACAGGTTTGATACCCGGCCAGTCAGGGAGAGTCCCACATGGCGTGGCAGACCTCTCCTGTCTCTCCCACTGCTCCCTTCAGCAGTGTATTTTGTCAGTCTACCTGTTCTGCTCCCCGCTTTGTCTCTGGTGAATTGTCTCACCCTCAAGTGCCTCTGGCCTGTAACCCAGCTATTGTATAAATGAAAAATAAATCTTTTAAAAAAGAAATAAAATCACATAAGAAATAGGTGATAAGTGGGAGTCTTTCAGAGGAGGGAAATGGCCCTCTGGCCAAGGTGGGGAAGTACTGGTGATATTGTAGGATTTTATTTAATCTTCTTGTCCACACTCCTTCAGGCCTGTGGTGAGTGGAGCACAGTCCTATGCATGGCAAGGCCTAGTACCACACAGAGGGAGCACAGACTGCTTCCAGACACCCCGAAATGACCGCTGGAAGCATTAATGGGCCTCCATTATATATGCCAAGAGAATTATGTAGTGAAGAAACTATATACTAAGAAAAAGTTCTAATTATATAGAAAATTATGTAAAAGTTCCTGTTTCTTGCTTTAATAGTTGCTCCACTTAAACATCCCCACTGAAGTTGGCCATGCCCCCTAGTTTAATTTTGTCTGTGAATACATCCCTGTAGTTACTCTCAGATCATTCAGTAAGTACATTGACTTTCATTCCACAGCCTAGATTTGGCGGTGGGTATAGAACAGGTCCCTGGCAGAAGGTTCTGGGAGGACCACCACATTGCTGAAGAACCTTTATATTCCCCCTGATCACATTTGTTTTTCTCTGTCATGTCATTTCCCAGTCATTTAAAAGCCATGACAGAATTATATGTTAAATCGCAATGTTTTAGAGATGGGAAGGATATACTGAAAAATTGCTAATAACTAAAATTTCTGGCACAGTGCACAACGATATTAAACTTCATATAGGTTTGTATTTAAAGTTGATGTGGATGTCCTTTTCCAGTATTTCTTGAGCAAAGACACCTTTGGGAAACATCACATCAGTGTGCTACTTGAAGTCACCTTAGGAATTTTTCTTTCTTAAAAAGAGAAACAGAAAACGTATCACCTCAGTGATAGAACTGATGACTTAATTTTAAAAAGATATGCAAATATAGAAGTTTTTAAAAGATGAAGTGGGTGACCTTTCACAACAGGCAGTCAGGATTCAGATCTTAACTCTTGAATCGACCACTATATGAGTGTTTGGGAATATTACTTTAATGGGAAGAATTATGGAATCTATTCTCATACCATTATTATAGAATTAGAAAGATATCCAAAATTCTCAAAGAATGACAGGCACAGAGTAATCCCTAGATGAACTCTTTTTTTTTTTTAAGATTTTATTTATTTATTTGTTTGTTTGTTTGTTTGTTTGTTTATGCAAGCACTGGGTACACTCAGAAGTGCCGGAAGGTGAGAGAATTCACCAGAGCCAGAGTGGGGAACAGAACAGGCAGAATGATGGAAATACACTGCTGAGGGGAGCAGCGGGCACAGCAGGAGAGGTCTGCGTGCCATGTGGGACCCTCGCTGGTGGCCAGGGATTGAACCAGCGCAGCAGAGGCTGCAGGCAGCTTCGCAGCCCAGCGCTCATCCGTTGCGCCACCGGGGAGGCCCCTTAGATAAACTCTTGATGCTTCATCACCCATGTGGAAACCAAAGTCCAGAGAGGTAAACTGGGGCATAAAGATCAGAATTTCCCACCATGATCAGGAGCACAGCCTAGATCTGCTACTCCTTTCAGTTCTGTTCTTTCAAATTAAGGGAGCCACAGATATAAACCGTGTGATCAATGGGGCCCTGGAGCCTGCGGTCAAGATTCCTCTGTAAGATTGATAGGAGTAAGACCTTTGCTGATGCTTCCTTAACTCTGGCCTGGCAGAATTGCAGAAATCAGTACTCCCTCTGGACCTCACTATCTTCATTAGTTGTAACTTTTCCAACTTTGTTTTATCCACTTTGATACACATGGGAATCAGGTTGCATCAGTAATCTTTGTCTTGTTCTCCCTTATCCACAGATTTTGAGACTGGGTGTGGAGGGGAAGGGTGTGGTAAGGGATTTTAAAAAAATAACATTCAAAAAAAATTTCTTAGGCCAATATACAGCTGCCAGGTTTTTTATGTTGCCAAACAAGATGTTAAGAAACTACAAGCTGCTTCCATCTTCCAT